AGTTCATGACTTTTAGTTCCCTCATCTTATTTCTGTTAAACACTCAATAGAAGTATTTTGAAAGAACAGTCTATTATGGGAGTAACCTGTGAGAGAAGATGCTTGTCCCAGGACCTCTTGCATCTTGCTTTGTGCAGGGACTGTTGACAGTGACCAGCTCTCTGCTCAGAGTTAGACGTGAAGTCTGGGCTCCCTCAGCCCTCCAGGGCTCTGTCTTTTTCCATCTTGTTTCCTGATCCTTTTTCCTCATCCTCCTAGTGTCATTGCCATAGTTGGCTAAAGGGATGCTACTTTCTAATGAGTCATTTTCACCGTTTTTCAAGAACAGGCTTAGAAAGCAGTTACTCCATGCCAATAGCATAGTTACTCCGTATCATTATATTGGGCACAAAAAGAATAGTAGGTGACCTGTAGAGGAAAAATTAGCTCATGACCAGCATTTTAAGTTATCTTTTATTGGTCTTAGGAAGTTATTGTTCTCAAGATTCACCTTAAGGTATGTTTAAACTCTCTTATTAACACATAGTTTACTCTCAAAGTTTTTAGTTGGCTCTCAGTGATTCGTATTATATAAATAAACTCCCTGGGTCTGAGTAAGCTTAATGAACATTTAAACTGTTTGGACTTGACTTCTCCTCCAGAGTTTTGTGGTAAAGAACTCCCAAAAAATGCTTTTGGGGCCAAAACAATCAAGCCTTCTTCTCTTCACTCTGTGAACTTGTATTTGCATCAGCCTGGCTGATCTCCCTGTAAGTCTGTGAACGTATGTGTCTTACTGGTCCCTCTGCTTCTCTGCTTTCCTTTGGAGCAGTTGTACAAGAGAAACATTGTGTTCTGCATGGTGCTGAGTCTGCCATGCAGACACCTGTAGGGAGCAGGAACACTGGGAGGGGTGTCTGGGCTTCAGACTAACAACTCTCATTTGCTACTCAGTCTCTTGTTACTTCTTCCATGCCCACCTTTGATGAGAGCAGACCAAAGCTGGCCCATTCAAAATCTTAGAATTATTGGAAACGGAGGAAGAGCTGTGTCTGAAGCCTAGAGACGCTTTGAATGCAATGCTCCAAGGCCGAGTCACACCACTTGGCGTTGTCCTTAGATACACTCTGCATTATTTTTGGTAAAGAGTTGGAGAACCACTAGTGAGGCATGCTGATTGCCGCAAGTTCCCAGTCTGTGGAGTCAGTTTGTCTGCACTTCTAATCCTTACCCATCCCTTAACTAGTGACTTTCGTAAAAGTTGGTTTTCCTTTCTAAGCTTGAGGTTCCTTCTCTGATTATGGGAATAAAATTGGACATTCCTCACACAGGGATGCTTACATGCAGAGGTGCATGTGGAATGTATGGCTTCCTGTCCGATAAAGTATGTGTTCAACAGTGTTAATGATGATCATTATTACTGATTGAAGTTTTCTTACCATAGGCTTAAAAGTAATTTCTACTGCATGTAAAGAAATGGTTTAGAAACTAAGCACATTTTGATTAGAACAAATATTTGTTCCTCGTTCCTTATGCTGAGAATGGGTGGTTTGTTGGTGACCATCGTTTTCCTGGCTCAATGACTACAGCTCTCAGCAGGCAGTGTGTATCAGGTCTTTGTTTTCATGTTGGATCACTGTAAGGAGATAGTTAATGTGCTCACCTTAAAGTGAAAAGAAGTCAGCGATGCTATGTACTGTTAAGAAGGAATCAAAGGAGATGAACCAGGTTTACCAATTCAAGAGAAAAAAAAGCAATCCATGCTTTTCTAAGTCAATGAGAAGGCTCAGTGGCCTGGTGCCAAGCAGTCTCCAGGGCCACTCCTGTGAGCTCTCTTCTGACATCTGCATGACCTGTACACACTCATGTGCACACACTTAATAAAGTAATAGAAGCCAGATAGGGCCAGTGAGATGGCTTAGTGGATAAGGGCACTTACTGATAAAGCCTGGCGACCCGAGTTTCATCTCTGGGACTTAATTACATATGTAATAGAAGGAAAGACCTGAAGACATCCCCAAGGTTTTCTCTGATTTTCACATGTACACTGTGACACAAGTATCTTACCACCAACAAACAAATAAACAAAAATAAATAAACAAATGTACTATTTTTCTTTTTTTTTTTTAAAAAAAAGTCCTATCAGGAGTCAGAGAGGTGGCTCAGCAGCTAAGAGCATGTACTGTTATTGAAGTGGACCTGAGTTGAGTTCCCAGTACCATGTCAGGAACCACCTATAACTTTAGTTCCAGAAGGATCTGAAACTGTCTTTTGGACTCTGCATTTTTATTCATGTGGATACCCCCCACCCCCCAATATGTATACACAAAATAAAGATAAATCTTAAAAACTCAAGTAGTATGGGGGGATATAAATTAAGCATTATTTTGTTCCTAAACATTAAATTAAGAAACCAAACAACATCCACGCAAGCTGAATTAAAACCAGAGGAAATGGAAAGTTAGAAGTAGGGCCTGCTGAGGTGGCTTTGCAGATAGAGGAGCCTACTGTCAAGCTCTGTGACCTCAGTTTGATTCCTGGAACCCACATGGTAGGAGAGAGCTGACTCTTACAAGTTGTTCTGTGACAGTCATATATGTGCCCAGACATGCAGAGCTGCACACACACACACACACACACACACACACACACACACACACACTCTGTACAACCAATCAACCAAGATGCATATGAATAGTATATTGAAAGAGAAATGAATTTTCATCTCACCTCAGAGCTAAACACCTAGATTACATATGTCTAGAAGTTTTCTTTCTCCTTTAGCTTCTCCTCCTTTTTTTCTTTGGCATTTAAAACACATATTGGATTTGGATTTACTCTTCAACACCTTGCTCTGTCTCACTTTATATACCAGATCAATACAAGTTATCCCCTGGGGGTTTATCTTGCTTTTTAAACATGATGTTATAGCTACAGTCTGTGGTCAGTCAGCTTCTTATTATTGTTATGACATACTGGAGAAAATCAACTCCAAGGAGGAAAGGTTTATTCTGACTTTGGGTTCCAGGTCATGGTTGCTCTTCTTTGTGGCATTTGGTGCCTGTGATGAGTAGAGGGAGCTACTCAGTTCATAATTGCAAGTTAGTAAAGATAGAGAGAGGAGAGAGGAGAGAGGGGAGTGGGGGCGGGGAGCAATGTGACCTTAGTAACTCCCTCAAGTGTGATCAAATGCCTGTTATGAAACATGTTCAGAGAGAAAGGATTTATTTTCACTAGTGAATCTGAGAGTACTGTCCATCACTGGGGAAAGGTATGGTGACTCCATGGATGATCAGCTAGCAGGAGAGAGAGAGAGACAGAGACAGAGACAGAGACAGAGAGAGAGAGAGACAGAGAGAGAGAGAGAGAGAGAGAGAGAGAGAGAGAGAGAGAGAGAGAGAGAGAGACTGACTCTGTGGCTGAAAGCAGGGATCAGTTATAGCTCTCATGTCTTGACCCTTGGCCTTGGTGGTCCATTTTTTCCATCTATGACTCATATCCCTAAGGTCGCATAACCTTCTCAAATAGTGTCAGTTGGTGTGGACCAAGTGTTCAACCTTCTACAGGTTTCACACTCAAATCATAACGTCCTGTATTTTATTTCCTCTTAATTATTCTGCTACCACCAATGGTGCTGAGTACCAGTGTCCAAGGCTCTACACATGGCCCTTTGGGGGATCTAAACCACTAGTCATATGTTTATTTAAGCCATCTTTCTATAACAGATTTAGAAGCTTTCTAATTCTTCTTACCTTGTTAATCATCAATGGAAATTGTGTGTGTGTGTGTGTGTGTGTTTGTGTGTGTGTGTGTGTGCATGCTTGAATTCATATGTCATATTTTAAATGTGATCCAAGTGTCCCAGTGAACATTTAAATGTTTGGTTGCTGGTCCTGCTTTTCCTTTCTGAGAGCTTCTTAGTGTGGATGGCAGTGAGGGAGCAACAGATTGCCTTATTGCTTTGCTTATGTTAAATAGCATCATATTTAAAATTGTTTTCCAACTTGATAGGAAAATATAAACACTTACTTCACTTTACAAACTCAATAACATCCATGTGTATCAGTGTCAATGGCTAACATCAGAAATCAAATTGCAAATTCATGTGCCCATTGGTAGGAAGGGGCGTTTTTATTTTCAGTCATGGATGAGGGAAGTGCCCACATAGTTCTAAGTTCTGAGTCTTAGTTCTAAGGCCAAATTGGGGGAGAAGAAAAGGAGAAAAATTTGATCAACTTGATGCCTCAGAAATAGAAAAATGTCATGAAAATTGACACACACACACACACACACACACACACACTCACACACAAGTGAACTGAGAAAAATATTGTGACACCTGTTCAAGATGTTTCATTAATGTGTCCGTAAGTATTAGGTAGCCCAGTAGAACAAATGAAAGGCAGAACAAATAGCAGAACTCCAAAACTGAGCATGGAAGGCTTTTTAAGTTATAAACCTCTTTTCCACCAGATTGTCAAGAGTTCAAAGGGGTGACAACTCATCTAGTGGGCAAGGTTAGGACAGCACTCACAGGTCCTGTGCATGGGTGTGTACTGATACACACCTCCAGGGCATTTAACAGTCTGCAAGCACATTGCAAGATTTAGTCTTTGACTCAACAGTCCCACTATTTATGTTGTTGCTAGAGGAAACCTGGGAAAAAGTCAAAGTTACACAGAGTCACATACAGTCACATACACATACACACACACACACACACACACACACACACACACTGTTCATTGAAGTACTGCTGAAATAGTGAACACTTTTAAATATTGTGGGTTTTAAAGTAAAAGTTAAGGCAGAGGCTCTGTCTGGCTCTCATGACATTTGCAGGTTTACAAACCGGATCTGACCAGAGCCCTGGTTGGCAGTGCTGCAACTGTGCCCATGCTGACATTCCTGCTTACCCTGTCCCCAGCATCCCCATGCCGCCTGGGGCATGTGCATGGTTTTGATGTCATTGAATGTGATATTTATCATTGCTTTTTTGTGTTCATTCTTTCCTTTACTAGAAAATGCATCAGATGCAGATCTGTGGCTCCTGAACAGTTGTACTGTGAAAAATCCAGCTGAGGACCACTTTAGAAACTCAATCAAGTAAGTAAGGGAGCCCCATTCTTTCTCTTTTAGATAATCAAGGTAAGAACTAGTGTCAGCCAATATTTGCTGTGAAGCCTTTACTTAAAACAGAAACAAAAACCAAAAAACCAAAATCCATGTATTTATTTGTGTGTATGTGCCATAGTGTGCACAAGGAGGTCAGAGGTCGAGTGCTGGAGTCAGTTCTGTCCTTCTTTTATGAGGGTCCTAAGGATTGAATTCAGGTTGTCAGTCTTGAGGCAATTACCTCTATCTACTGAGCCCTCTTCTGTGTCTCCAAATAAGCCTTTTAAAGATTTCTCATACAACTCTGATTTCTCTTCAGCTCACATAAATCTTTTTCCTTTTACTATACGTCTCCTAATATTATTAAATATTTAGTATGTATCAAAAAACGTAAGTTAGACTTTAAGTAGTTTTTAAAATAAAAATACTCTATTCTATTAACTTAAATAATAGCATCACAACTGGGTTAAGGAAGCCACTGAAGTACTACCCAGTTGGGCTGCTAAGATCTAAGAATTAACTTAGCATCATTCTAAGATGCTGTTGATGTGGATTTATCTGATAGACAATGTTTTACTGTGGAGTTTCATAATGCGATTTGAGCATTTGTGAAGTGATTTGTCTGGTTGGAGCTACGTGTTCTTCTCAGAGGAAGCAGGCATGCCTGGTAAAGTTGCTTGCTGGTTGTAGTCCTCTTTTCCTCCTGTTAGCCCTTTTCTAGGTGGTGCAGTGTGAGCCAGGGAACTCCAGTAGGTAACTGATGCGTGAATCCTTGCTTGGGTTGTTCCTTCAGTGTGGAAGATGCTTTCTGCACATATGCTTTGAATCTTACTCTACCTGCTTCCTCAGAAACCTCATTCTATAAATTATTTCCTCCTAGGCTTCCAGCCTCTCCAAGTCCACTGGCTCCGTTCCATTGCCATTCAACACACTCAGGTCTGATCAGTCCCAGATGTCCTTGTTACCTATTTTCCCTTGCCTTCCCAGCCAGACCTTTCCTTAGCATTACTTCTATTATTTATTTATTAAGTATTTATTTTCAATGTATATGTATGCATGTGTGCGCCTGTGTGTGTGTGTGTTATATATGTGCAGGCAAGGGTTGAGGGTGGCAGTCTCTTTAACTGAGCAGGAACAGAAAAATTTTGAGTCACAGCAGGAGTTAGGGAGACTGGATGGAGTAGGGATGGAAGGTGAGCTCCAGAAGAACAGTCCTAAACCATAGCAGGGGATGGTGCTGTTCATGTCCAGAAACTTACTTCTTTTCTTTCAGAATGAGAAATCTGTCATAATCACCACATTGTCTATATGACAGTTAAAAACTATACAAAGACACTTTAGTACTGCTGCTGCTCCACCTTACTGCCTATAGACTGTGGTTCTGTGATTACAGATTAACCTACCTGTTAGGTGCACTTCAGATATCACTCAGTGGTCAGGCCTGTGTATTTGGAGTCCTGAGTTCAGCTCACAGTGTCACCAAAACAACAAACAACCTGGACCCAAACAAAAACACGAGGAAAGAATGGAAGGAGAAGAGGAGAGAGGCCCCGCCCCTTTTCTTTCTGGGGGTTTGTCATTGAGTAAGTAAGCAGTTCTGTCCTTTGGTGATGAGCCTCTGTGTCAGTAAGGATCATGATGAGGCACCACTAATCACAGAGGAAAAGTTTGTTCTTAGAATGCAACAATGCTAGGAGTTGTTTGCAAGGGTTTCTTTAATGTACTACTCTCTGTCTGCTTCATTGAAGGGCAGATGAAAATGAGTATTACATATGATTAAATATTTTTAATGGCCCTAAAGGCTTTTGATCCTTATAGCCAGTTGTTACTAATATAACACTTCAACTAATCATGTAACATCTAAAAGCAATTCACACTGAGAACATGTCAGATACAAGTGACTTTTATATATGTGAAGACTTTACATACATGTCATCCTGTAGGGATAAGTGGGGTCCTAAGTCCGCTCCACCAAAGGACTCGGGCCATTTCGGGAGTCGGGACTCAGGAAGTTTTGACTGCACTTATCCCATGCTGGCACCGGCGGGTGTAGCCACGGAACACCACTCTGGGAGTAGGGAAGCACAATCTGAGGTCCTGGGGACAGCCAGAGCTGGCTCGGGGGTCCCTGGGCCTGAAGGGAGGCCAGGGGCCATCTGGTTCTCAGAGTCTTGGGCATCCAGGTGCCGCTGGGAGCCTCAGAAGAGCTGAGAATGGAGTGGGGGCCTGCAGGCTGGATCTAGCCCAGGGCCGAGGGAGATAAAGAGGGGAGGTCCCCGGCTGGGTCCTGTGGGGATGAGTACTTGGGTTGGTCAGCAGGCGGCTGGCTTGGCTTGGTGGAGGCCCTGGCTGGGAGCGCTGAGAGGCCTTCTGTGGGACATTAGGCTGACAGCTCTTTAGGCGAAGGTTTGCTGCTCCATTCTTCCCCGTGGCGGATCCTGATAAAAAGAGGCAGTCCATGGTTTTAAGGCATTTATTGTCATGGTGGAAAGTTGATGAATAAAACTGTATCCCAGTTTCTCAGGCTGGGCCTGAGGTTAAATACCTTTTGCAGGGAGGGAGGAGTGTCTGGGAAGGAAAGCTTAATTGGCTAAGCCCTTCAGGCCTTTAGGTACCTCATTAAAATGGAGATCTGGCTTGAGGCTAAGTGACCACAGGTCATATCCTCTACCTGTGGAGGGGTTTGGGGCATTGCCCTTACGTGACTGATGGCCACAAATATATGGAGGGCTGCGGCATCGTGTCAGGAGCCTAGTGTCTGGGAACCAGGCAAAACACCTGCTGTCCCTCAGGGTCACCTGGGTTTCCGACCTTAGCTCAACCAGGAACCAGGCGTCTTTTTAGGTCCTATACCATCCTACTTCTTACCATCTCCTGACAAGAAAAGGTAAAAATGAATATATTGTGATCTTTATGTATTAATAGTTAATGCATTAATTAATAATGTACTTAATACATTATCACATATATGCAACAATATGTAATTACTAAGCTACACATTCGTCAGCTGTCATTCTGTGGGTCCATTCCTTCAGCTTTCATTCTTGTATGTGTTTTATGTTGCTTTATGCTCTTCAGTAGGATGATGTAGCATTTAAATTCAAGGAGAATATGATACTATGCTATTGTTTATTTTATGGTGGCCAATCCTTTCTATTAGAAGATTACAGTCCCCTTTTCTCCCCTAGGTCCCTTATCCATAATAATTGCTTTGCATCTATATTTAAAAATAAGTCCCCTCTAGTTGGGGATAGTACTAACTCTCTACCCTGGAGTTTCCCCTCAGGGTCTGGGGCATGTTGTGCACATACTATGCCCTGCCCTGTCACTTCTGCTTTGTTCCTTTCCAGAATATTCTTTGTCTTAGCCTCTGCTTGCTCTTCATTACCCATTGTCCATCATGTCATTTGTTTCTTGCACTATGAGGTAGATCCACCTCACTGAAACAGGATAGCAGGGATGTAGATGAGCAACAGGGGGTTGTTTATTCATGTGATTAATACAAGTTTCCTTTAAGATCCAGCAGAGAGGTGTGTGTGTGTTTATGTAACAAGACAGCTTTGGTTTTGTGTGTGTGTGCTTTTTTAAAATGTTCCTGAGGTTTTAATGGTAGATTATTGATCAGATTGATGAAATCATAGAAGTTTTAAGTAACAAAAGTAGAAGTGAAGCCAACTTTCTGGGCTGGCCTTGAACTTTGAACTCTTATTATTGGCTGAAGTAGTTTACATAAAAACTGCTAAGGGACCCGTGTTTCATGATGCTGCCTACCAGATCACTCTGTTTCCTCCTCTGTCAGTACCGGGTTCCTGTTTGATCCATTATTCCAGCATGGTTTAAACAATATGGGCTTTAACTTGAGAGACTTGAGTAAATGAAAGTGTGGAGTCTTTCTCATGCCACCTAAGGAGGTCACCCAGGGGCTGATAAAAATAAACACGTCTTGTGTGTTCCATGTAAAGACAGGAAGAGCAGCCAGCATGCTTTGATCATGGACTGATGACCTCTGTTTGACCTTGTACATTATTACCCAAATGGCCACACCGGTAGCAGATAGAAAAGAATCATTCCAGTTTTGAACTGGCCTTGCCCATAGAAATGTATGCTAATGCTGACAGGACTGGTTAGATAGCCAAGGAAAATGATTTGTGAGAATAGTTGAAAATTGAGAGCTGGCCACAGCAGGGATAGGTGGGCCTGAAGGGAAGGCTCCCTGCTTGGTGTGTTGTCTTTTCCTTACAGGGTGTTCCTAATACAATGCTCTTTTTAGCAGAGAAAAAAAATGGTTTTACTCTCCATCCTACAGTGGAAATATTGTTTGTTTTATGTGGATTTGTCTTTGAGTTCTTCATAAATTGTCAGAGGTACAAGAGTACTATTTCAAGCAGAACACATGAAGTAAATTGCTTTACAAAATAAGCTGAGCTGTTAAGAACAGACAAGAGCTTGTTCTCTCAGTTAGTAATTAATCACCCTGTTTAAAAGAGAGTGAAAAACTAACTGATTATATTGTTAACTAGATTCACTAATAGTTATTAGGTTTTTAAAAAATTATAATTGCTATGGTTAATTTTAATTTTCATTTAATTTAAATGAAAAAATTTGCATTAGAAAATAAAACCACACTGGGCCTCATTTGACTTTCTGTAAGAAAGAGATTAGCTAATGAAAATTGTTTATACACACACACACACACACACACACACACACACACACACACACACACACAGGAGCAGTAAGGAAAGGAGAGAGTGTTGTGTGAGAGTGTGGGCATGCACAGACCAGAGGCCACAGGCCACAGTATGCTTGTGGAGGTAAGAGGATAGATAGCCTTCTGTTGTCTGTCCTTGTCTTTCTACCTTGCTGGAGACAGGGCGTCCTTACCCTTGTCCTTACCGTTGCCCAAGTTTGGTTGGCCTCTGATGTTCCTGCCTCGAGCCTCTGTTTCCTATGCCTCAGCAGGACTACAGATGCCTGTACTTCTGCACTTG